TTACTCATTCTCACTCCACCCTCTCTCTCTCTCTCTCTCTCTCTCTCTCTCTCTCTCTCTCTCTCTCTCTCTCTCTCTCTCTCTCTCTCTGTATGCTTAATCAGGTCCACAACTACCTCTAGGACAGAGGGCTATCTGACTTTGGGGCGGTGTGGTCTTGTTCTCAGGCAGGACGTTTGGGGCGAATCTTGGGCGGAATATTTTGTGGACTAGATAGATAACGCTGACAGTACAGGTTTGTCGTGGAAATTGTCACTATGGCTGTCTGTTATATCTCTTCCTGTTCCTTATTTTCAGTTTGTCTGATTTGTTGATCGTTAATTTCTTCACCTCTTATTTCTGCCGTGGTTGTTGTCATACCGTTCATCATTGTACTCATCTGACTCCCTCCTCCTTTCCCTTCTTTTGCTCGTCCTTCCTCCTCCTTTCCTTCCTGTCCTCTTTCACCCCATTTCACTCCTCCTTCACCTCCTCCTCAACCGTCATCCTCCTCTGCCTGTCCTCCTCTTTCTTCACCTCTTTCCCTTCCTCCTCATTTTTTCCTTCTTCCTCCTCATCCTCCTCCTCTTCAAAATATTATCATCCATCCTTTTGTTTTTACATTGTCGAATTTGTACTACTCAATTTAAACATAGTAATATCCTTTCCTGTATGACACTTTCTTCTCTATTCAACGTTTAATAAAACAATGCATATTTTTGTTATCAATTAAATCATCCGTCTTCTGTAAAGTACTGGTGTTCTGGAAACTACTATTGATTGTATAAGGGAATTGAAGGACACCGTCTTATACTAAGCTGTTTAATAAAAGCACCATTTTATGGCATCAAACCTACTATAACGACCACCTGTCTAAAACAATGACCTGTACACACGAACACTTCTCACTTCCCCCTTGTGTTTTATCTCTATTATAATGAAACTGTCCAAGACGTCCACCTGTCTAAAAAATATCTTTTCTTCTCGACATTGTGTGACCGTCTTGAACAATTTCGACTGTATATTAATTATTTCCATGCAAAAGTTGCGTTGATCTACATGCTCACTGTAACGTTTTCAATCTCTTTGACTCAATCATTTTGTGAAAGGTAAGAGGGTCCGATGAATTGTTGAAATGGGGAAGGTTGGGGGGGGGGGGGGGGTAATACCAAGGTTGCTAAAAGAACGATAAATTGTGTTTTTCTGTGTTACAGGTGGGCCAACATGGCGCTATTGTTGTACTTTGTGGCCCTTGGCGTGAGCGGAGTCCTGACGCAATCTACGTCACAGATGGCCACAACAACCACAGTCCCTCGCACGCCCAAGCCAGGTGACGTCATCACAGTTCTCTTTAAATGTTTCTATAAAAATATAAAAAAACAACAACAACAAAATACCCAGAGTGTATACCGTTTGATTTATAACATTGAATTGACTCGTTAAAAAATCCGTGTCAATATTAAAGAGTGAAATAGAAACATCCGAAATATGTACAAAAATTGCTTCGAAAATAATTTAAGATCATATCTGTCAAAATGACAGGCACTTCTGCCATACAGATCTAAAGGCCCTTCCTTGTTATCAATACCAGCCTCAGTTTTATTACGTTAATGCGACATCAAAAACAAATCACGTATGCAGACCAAGACAGACAGACAGACAGACAGACAGACAGACAGACAGACAGACAGACAGACAGACAGACAGACAGACAGACAGACAGACAAACACACACACACACTCATACACACCCATACACTCACAGGCACACACACATATACACACACAAATACACAAACACACACACACACACACACACACACACAAACACACACACACACAGTGCGCGCGCGCATTATCAGCATTGATATTTATAGTTATTATGACAAAAGATAAACAGGATCATGATGAGGCTGATGAATAATACGACAAATTAAATAATAATTGTTTTCATGTTCACTTGTAGCGCCTGATCTGGTCACTGTCCTGGCAAACAAGGGCCATTACTCTGTCATCCTCGGCCTTCTCAACTCAACAGGACTTTTGAACCAACTTTTGGCAGGTAACATTTTGAAAAACGCTGTGTAATTTCTTTAGCTATAGCCTACATAGAATTCTGCTTCAAGTATTCGGGCATTCTTAAAGTTTGGACTTGCGGATATCAGCCCCGGTCTTGAGAGAGATTTTTTAAAACACAAATAGCAGGGTGATGGGCACAGAAACTTGTGTGGAGAGAAAAAAGGGGGGGGGGAGGAGACATGCTTCGTAATTGAAACCTATTGTTAAGAAGAGGAGGATGAGAAGGCGGAGGAGGAGAATGGGGAGGAATAGGAGATAAGGAAGAAAGAGGAGCGGGAGGAGGGAGTGTGGTGATCACAATGATGATAGGCATGACAGTAATGGCCTCCGCTTTGAAAATTCCTTAGATTTCATTTCACAGCTGAAACGTCTTCTGACAAATGAGTTTAAAAAAAAAAGTTATAACTGTGAATTTCCACACGATGTCGGTCCAATAATCGAGGCACTCGACAGCAGGGAAGACAACTTCCATTTAAACTGTGTCGTTATTTTCCAGTGAAAACAACTGGTATCTGGATTAGGCCGTTATTAAGTCTTAGCTATAACAACAGGTTTAAATGTCTCAACCACCCTCTCAGCCGTTATCCTTAATTATTATTTCGCTCACATCGTATATATCTGTTTATGTATTATAGATGGGATTCAACTCTAAGGTCTGATCTGAATGAAAACAAACTATTTTCTGTTTTCTGATGTGTATAACAATCAAACTCAGTCTTGCCCGCATTTTTTTGTGTAACGGTTAGGCTCTTCGCCGATGCACACAGAAGATATGAGTTCAATTTCCATAATTACATGGTTATTTCTTTAGGATCTCTCCCCGTCTGCTGGTACGCTGGGCACCTTTCAGGTCAAGTTGGCCCTGGCCGGTGTGGGGGGTTGAAGCAGCCAGCCCGAGGACTGTTCTAAATTGTGTCGAATAGGACTTAAAACACTGACAACACATTAAAACTTTTACGCACCTTCCCATTCCTTGCATGTTCCTTCATGCTACTGCATCTTCATAGTCTTTCCTACCGCTTTCATACGGCTTTTTAGAATATCTAATTTAGGTTTTAACTAAGAGTGTTATGGCATCTGCGACCCAACTAGGCCTTATAAGTGCGGGAGATTAGAGGTTTCACTAGAAAGTTACAAAAGCCAAAAAGGAGGGATAAGGACGGTAGATATTTTGATACGAAAAAGGAGCAAACCACACCAGAGCATCCGCCAACTACGCTCTAACTTTTTGGTTTGAGTTTGAGTAAAGAGAAGCACCTTGACACAACAGACGTTTAGTGGAGGGTTAGAAGAAAGATGGGTGAAAAAGCGACAGATAGATAGAAAAGAAGCCGGGCCAAAGCCAATGACTCCCCCCCCCCTCCAAAAAAAATCCCCCACAAAAAAACAACTTACTAAAATCCCCATAATTCCCAGCGCCCCAGATGACCCTGTTCGCGCCGACAGACGAAGCCCTGGCCAAACTTCCCCCTCAGGAGCTGACCGCCCTCCAAGCTGACCCCCAGAGATTGACCCAGGTCCTCAGCTACCACGCTGTAACGGGCTTGTCTTTCGAGGTCAAAGGTCGGAACAATGACAAGGTTCTGAGTTCTTCGTCAGGACAACCCATCAGGATCAACGTGTATCCCATAGTGCACGTAAGAGGTTTTTCTATTTGTCTCACCTGGCTTTTGCTGATGGTTTGTTTTTTGTTTGAATTTGAAAAAATTCTGCATTCATTTATTCAATTAGTTATGCTTTATTTATTTCTAATATTATATATATTATGATTGTATGTATCGTCGGAAAGCTGTTCAATTGTTCTAAGCCCAGAGAGCATTTGTTTGTTTGTTTTTTCAGGAAAGAGAAAAATAGGTTTCAATATCTTAGTAATTGCACATTCATTTTTTAACACTTAAAATTTGAATTCCGGCAAAATATTTCTTGTTCACATGTATTCTATACCACGAATTAAAAATCTGCACTTTTTTTCAAAAATCAGAATTTTGGGCTTAGCGCATCTTAACACCTCTCGGATTATATACAACAGTGGGTCGAATGCAGCGTGGGTCAAGCCATTAATGTTTCACATGTGTTGGATGATGCTGCTCACTATCTTCCTACCTTCTTTAACTCTTTCCCCATCTCCTCCTCCTTCTCCTCCTCCTCCCCCTCCTCCTCCTCCTCCTCCTCCTCCTCTTCCTTCTCTTCTTCTTCTTCTTCTTCTTCTTCTTCTTCTTCTTCTTCTTCTTCTTCTTCTTCTTCTATACCTCTTCCTCCTCCACCTCCTCTTTCCCGGACTATAAACTAATCTTCTTCCAACATTCATCAAGAGCATGACTAACTAGCGACATCAATTATGAAACATAACATTTCGCTTTTCTTACCGTACCCAGGCGTATTCAGCAGAGGGGGTCAAAATCTCTGAGAAAGACATTCAGGTCGCCAACGGCTATGTGCAGGGCATTGACGGCATCATGGTTCCTCCAGAAGGCGATATCATCGATCTGCTGGCCAAGAGACCCGACATGAAGACTCTGACGTCATTGCTTAAAACGGCGGGCCTCGTAAATACCATAAAAGGTCAGTGTATTATATGGTGCCTTTTTTATTTTAAATATTTAGGTCCCAATGGGCATGACATAAGAGTATGGTTGCTTTGATCATGTCAGCTAAGGTCCATCCAGGGTAAATTATATTCAAAACTTCAGCGAACTTAGGAGATACCTGAAAAAAGCAGTCTCCGCAGAGGAATCGATCTCACTTTTTTTCTGCATGTAACGGTAAGGGGCTTATCTGCTAAACTAATCAGAACTGCAGGCCTTAATAAATATAACGAAATTACACCTGCGTTAAAATAATGTTATTCTAAGGGTCGTGGTACCCTGAAGGGCAAAATCTTATCTGAATGCAGAGGTAAAGTACATAACACTACACGAATAGCATACTCGACCCCCAAAGTCATGTGAAATGTCATTAAATGATTGCCAAGTCCTTGCATGACGGTTTCTGAAATTTGTATGTCAGTCTTCCTTTACTCGGACAAAAATAGGCAGTGAAGCAGCAAACCCACCCTGACAATTCACCACCTCAAATAACAAAATTGTATCTGACATTTATGGTCGTTTTGATTTACTAAGACATGAGGTCAGAAACCAAATAAATGTTCTATCTGCTCTATCACTATCAAAATCGTTAGATTATTCGGAGTCATTATCAAGATACTTGGAGAATTACGTTCGTAAAAGATTGACATGTTGTGAAACTCTAAACCTTTGAGGTCAAATTTATTTAAACTGGGTACTGTGCACATAGAACGTTGTAATTCGTTAAGTTAACGAATTGTAAACTTGGTAGTCTGTAAAAAGCTTCCGTTTTCAGCTGACCATAACATCACAGTGTTTGCTCCAACGGACGCAGCCTTTGCCAAACTAAGTCCGCCGGTGTTGACCTACTTACAGGATAATCCGGGCGCTCTGGCGGGTAAGTCACACGGTTTTTGTTTGTTTGTCTGTTTTGTCTTAATCGTTAATCGTGGTAGCATCGGAGAGCGGGGTAAATTGGAATAGGAAAAAATGAAATGTTTTTATTGCTAGTTTGCAGATCGTTCACGATTTTCACTACTTATGTTTCTTTTTTTTATATAAAAAGGGATTTGGTTGTGGGGGGGGGGGGGGTTATTGAATGGTTATCTTATTTGGTTTAATGGGATTGAAAACATTCCTTTCGGTTCTGATGGTTTGCTACAGCCCTAGTGTGACCGTTAAATAAAAGCGACTTTCGCACTTTGCCTATTTCTACCACTCAAAGAGGTTTATTTTTTCAGATCTGTTTTGTTTGCAGCTTTTATTTTGCAAAGATGTCATGTTATTTGGAATAAAATTCCAGCTGGGATGCAAAAGGGGGAAAAGAATTAGTCCTCCTTCTTTAAAAAAAATTGGCATGAGTTTTTAACACTTCCAAAGCTAAGGCTTCCTTGAAAACAAAGCTAAATAACCATGTTTCATGATAATTTTAAGAGTTGTTTTTTAAGTCATCTTAGTGTACAATAGCAGACTCAGCGTTTCAAACAAAAGCATTTTAGCGTAATTTCGATTTTACTACTGCAGTTTAAAAACGTGACCGACACATCCGTTGTCCCTAAAATTAATTATGTGGTAAAAGTTTACATGGGGAACCTTCTATTGGGAATTCACTTGCCCTCAAAGAGTTTGCTTGAGCTATCACTCACAAACCAGGGTCACCACTCTCTGTGGGTTGCTAAAAAGCCCTGAACGACTGACACTTTTAACTTATTTAAGAATGGGGACGAAGTAGATTTTGATCAGTGATTTTCGATGATACTATGCGAGGGCCATTCATAGATGCCGTCCAAAAATATAATGTTGCAGAGCAATTTGCTAGTAGGAAACACACATGGGTGGAAGGGGGGGGGGGGGCAATTTGTTGTTAACTGATTAGAGCTGAAGAGAGGAATATTTAACGATAAACATAATGATAATCACCTTGATTTTGATGAAAATGAGGAGGAGGAGGAGGGTAATGAGGAAGGGAAGGAGGAGGATGGAAGGAGATGAAGACGGAGGGAGACGAGAGGGAGGAGGAGAAGGAAGAGGAGGCGGAAAGAAGAAGGAGATAAAGTATAGTAGAAAAAGGAGGAGGAGAGGGGGGGGGGGAGAAGAAGGAGGAGGAGAATAAGAAGAATATGAAGAAGGAGGGGGAGGAGGAGGACATGATAAATTCCAATCAGTTCTAGGGTTGGCATTTATTGGCATCGGGGAATGGGACGTTGTGTTCCTAGAGTCGTGCGATGGGGGCAGGGGTCAAGACAAGACATTCGGGCAGACTTTAGAAGCTGACTAATAATACTACAGAAGAAGAACTTGCCAGCTGGTAGTAGGGCTCTCAAAACCGTCCATTTTTAATTTCTCTACTTTCTAGAGGTTCTGCTCTATCACGTGGTGGCCAGAAAGACCCTGTATAGTATCGGCATGCGTCAGGCCATGTCCTTCCCGACCGCAGACAGTCACCACGACAGCCTCATGCTTATAGAAGACAGCAGTAAGTTGAATAAATAGCATGATGATGGTAATGATGATGATGATGATGATGATGATGATGATGATGATGATGATGATGATGATAGAAAAAGGTATCCTGTGTATTTGATTCGTTAAAAAAAAACTTTTTCTGTATCCTTCACAAACACAATTACCATCAACATCATTACAGCAACGATAGCAACAACAATAGCAACGTCATCAGTAGTAACGCCAACGTTACAACAACATTGATAACTGTAACAGCCATGCCATAAAATACAACAACGGTCACAAAAGAAGTTGAGTCCAATATAATTTGAGCACTCTCACATTCCTGCTGTCCACAATGAAAACACAATGTATTAACCTTTACAGTAAAACACTCTAGTATTCTCTTAGTTTAGTTTTGTAAGAGTTTTACGGCACTTGCAATACAATAAGGTCATATGATTGTCAAAGATTAAGAATGTTACAAGACTATCAAACACAGAAAAGAAGGAGGAGAGAAAAGGGAGATCGATGCTGGATAGGAGAGAAGAAGCAAACCACACAAGAGCTCCCGCCAACAAACCAGAAGTATTCTTTGGAGAAAAAAACCCACCTTAAAGCAAAGCAAAACGAAATGAAAACAAAAAACAAACAAATCTCAAAAACTCTAATCAAAACATCGAGTATGTGCATCAATCAAATTTTCACCTTAATTCCCCCAGATGGCGACATCTACCTGAATCACGCCAAGCTGTTGGAGGTGGACCACAGTGCAACGAACGGGGTCCTTCACGTTATCGATGATGTCATCGTGCCAATCAGAATTATCTTAGCCATCGAAGGGGCGGGGCTGTCATTAGTTGGATAACCAGTCAGGTGCTCACCATTGTCACGACAAAATTCTGTAAATAAATAAATGTACGTGATGACATTTATTATGGTTGTCGTTTACTTTTTTTCTTGTCGGTTGCCTTTCTCCTTGCAAAAATTATTTGATTATGTCATAAACTTGTATTATAATCTCCCTGACCATACACTCTAACGTGTGCCAGATTCAGTATGGAACGCACTATTTGACTCAGAGCCAAGCAAAGAGCAAGGGTGGTGGTGGTAAAAGTGTTGTTTTGGCCTTCATTTGGGTGTAGGCCCCTGACGGTGCGATCCTTTGTGTGCGCACTTCGTAACACATTTTTAGTTTTTAGGGGGTTTTCTGCTTTTTTAAGTAAAGGACGGTAGCCATGATTGTGTGTGGTCTAGAAGTACAAGTCTATGGGATATCAATGTCTCCAAATTAACATGCTATGTCATGTCTACGTGGTTAACTTTTTACTCGTCTGTTTTTGGATTGGGAACTTGAAATCGATTATTTTGCTTGCTTCTTAGGTGTCTATTATTCAGAGGTGCGTGGAGCGTGGTGGTGTTGGTAAGGATAAAAGGAGGAAGGGGGTGGGGAGAGAGAGATCATGGCACCCTCCTTTTTTTCTTATGTAGGTATTTAGCACCTCCATTGACACAATTGTGATCATTTAGGAAGAGAGCTTCGACCCTTCCCGTTCCTGTTCAACCCGCGTTGAAAGGAATACAACGTCACCACAGAAGGACTGAAATTCTCAATAAAAATTTCTCCCCACACGTGAATGGAACTCGGGTCTGCTGCCTGCGATGACGAGGCACTTAACTGCTTACACAACAGACCTCAGCCTTCTTTTGGGAGAAGTTTTCGAGGAAAAAGCAATCTCGTAGTATCTGATTTTTTAAAATAGAACAAACTTGTTTTGTTCCTCAATTTCGTAAATTTGGCAGACTGTAAAACACACACACACACACACACACACACACACACACACACACACACACACAA